GCATTCCATGGACTCAGCACTTCTCCTTGGCAGGTATAATCCTCACTGCTCAACTCGCTTTCATCTTCCTTGATTTCCTACACTCTAGACGGCGTGCATTTCCTTCTTAGTTCAGTCCGGACCTGCATGGACTGCTGCAGTTAGCCTGTTTCCGATCCATCCCTTTTTACTACCCCCTTTCTCATTTTTGTCCCACTGACACCCCCTGTCAATTATTATTCCAACAAAGCCTTCTGAAATCTCCTCATAACCCCATTTCTTAGTCTCCACTCCAGCGACTGAGACCTGGCAACTCCCGAATTTCCCACTCTGCCATGTGCCACACCGCCTGTTCTGTAACCCAGCATAATTCACACCTCTCTCTCCTTACTGAGCTTCCGGCATCCATCTTTTCTCCAACTCTGTGTTCCTTCCATACAAGTCTCCTTAGTAGTTCTCTCTCATTTCAGTCAGTCCTCACAAGACGAACCTCATCTCTAAGGGCACTCTTCTCTTGTTATCTTTGGTTGTTTACCTGGCTTTATTCTTGAAGCTCTCATCCTTACATTATGGCAAGGGATTCAGTATTGTTCTCTTGCCATGGAGAGGCGCCTCTCACCCTTTCTCAAACCCAGCGTTTGTCATCCTTTCTAGCAACACTGATAGATCGCTACCAGTGGTTTTTACTGGAGTTCACCGTAGATTCCCTGTAACCTCTCATTGTTCTCATCCAAACCATTTCATTAAACATTTGCCACAAAACTTTCAGGAACGTTATCTCTACTAATACCATTCCTATTTGCTTCTTTGTTTCTGTCACTTACTTATATATAAATGTCTTCTGACTTGACTTGTACTTAAAATTCACCTAGTTTGTCCAGGCTGTGATCTGCCTATGTTCCTGATTGTCTCCCCTTATTCCTCATTTGCCTGTAGCCTCCCTACTAATTCAGAACCAAACAGGGGTTCACAGAATCTGGTATTACTAATGGCTATCCGGCCTCTCCATCCTTATTTGATCATGACCTTTGTCCCTACCATAATCCCATCTTTCTGTTTAAAAAACTGACCCATTCTTCTTCCGTCTTCCTCCTACAGAAAACCCAACCTTAATTTAACCAAGATTACTCTCTAATCAGCCCCCTAGGGCATTAAAATAGATTCTGCAGTCTTGATAGATACACTAAAAAAGCCCACTACCAGCCCACTACCATCATCTGATTTCAACACACTCCATTAAATTCATTTGCTCTCTGAATTCAGACCTGTTCTTCACAGGATTCCCACCAGTGACTTTAATTATCTCTAACATTTCAATCATTTGGCTGCCTCAGCTCACCAGAGCCTGTTGGAAAATGTCTAGTCTCCATTTGAAATACAAGGTATTTCGAATTTGTTCTAAACAAATTCTCTTCTCAGCACCTGCGCATCAGCACATCTTAACTGTTTCCAACTGCCCCGTGGCCTCTGGCCTCTTTTGCTCATGTACCTCCCTCTGCTCTCCAAAGCTCTTTCACATCTTTTGAGATCCAGTTAAACTTGCAGTCTTTCAAATTTTTTGATTTTTCTAGCTATTAATCCTGAACTCCCACAAAGCCCGCTATTAAAAGTTATATTAAAAAACCTATGGCATTGAGTCGTGATGTCATAGGTATACAGGTAGATCTCTCTCGCACTCTTACTTAATTAACTCCTAGACGTTCGGCTATTGGCAAAAGAGGTCATGTCTCAGTCATCTTTTTATCTAAGTTTACACCTTTACATGTAACGCCGGTATGTACTGGCATTCAGTACGTGTTTGAAGGAAGTGAGTTTAAAGTTGACTGAGCAGATGAAAAGTCTCACTACCCAACCTGTCGTATATGGTCTCTGCATCTGAGTCTTTTCTTTCCTTTCCATGCCTAGCCCCCAAATAATTTTTGAACTCCCCAAATTCTAATGCTTTTGTACCTATAAGCCTTTCCCAGACCATGGATTAGACCCTTTTCTTCGTCCATACTTAATAAATCCCCTCCTTGAGACAGTTCAGAAAATCCTATCTTCACTTTCCAAGAATGTGCTTCTGCCTCCATTTCTTATTAGTTCCACCAGTCATCTCAAAACATAGAACTGCCCACTTGCTTTTCCATTTGAAGACACTGACTTTACCAATACTAGCGCCTCATTACTGACCTACTCACTATAGGCTGAAAATTGACATAAAGTAGAATCATTCTGGTGATCTGTGGACCCATTGTTGGTCCACAATCTAAAAACAGTATTGCTGTGGAGATTCCAGTGTGCTTTAGTGTTAATTTAACGGTCTGTGTGCTTTTTACTGTCGATATTTTTTGCTTTGTCTGTCAGCTCCTATGGTAGTGTTTCTTATATTTTTCCACAAATTGCTCTTTTTGACATGCGTGGCAAAAAACCTCCAAAAGTATCTCCCCCGCTGCTTTCTCTATATCAATACAAAAAGTTTTGCCCATGTCATCTTTTCTGTGCTATTCTAACCCACAATGGGGAATGGATTTTAAAATCATACTTTGTGAGACCAGCTTACAGGCTGCTTTTGAAACTACTACACTAGAAAAGAGAGCTTGCATGTTTTACTCGGTAACACAGAGCATAGTGCCAAGTGCACGTGTGCTTCCTAATTACCGACGGCGACTTTGTGCTTGTGCTGCCCGCTGACAGGCCTGCCTGCTCTTTCTCCTCCAGTTGCAGGCACCTTCAGCTGCACCATGAAGTTTACTGTCCGGGACTGTGACCCTGACACTGGGGTCCCAGCCGAGGAGGGGTATGATGATGAGTACGTGGTGAGTCTCCCCTGCACAGACCCACTCTGACACCCCTGCACCACTGAGTGACTTCTACCTGAAAGGAACATTTTTCTAGGAACATCTGACATGAACTCATGAGGTTTTATTCTTCTCAAACAATTACAACTGAGGAGGACCTGGACTCTGTAATGGGAGCGTCAGGCCAAAGAGAATTGAGATTTACCACTTCCTGATTGGTCAAAACGAAACTCGTCTTTTTTTTATGTCTTTGTAATAGGGATAATTACAAGATGAAAATAATTGTATGGTTTTCATTGAGATCAGTGAGTTAAGTATTAGGGTGGTGGTGGTTTTGTTCAGCAGCTTTTAGTTTACTTACAATGTAGCTGCATCATGGACTGAAAAGCCTTCTCAGAACACAGAGAGAAGTTTAAGAAATGTTAACCTGTTAGTGAATGCCAAGTTCAGAAGGCCCAGTATGGCCTGAACTTGATTGTCAGGTGTGGTGACATGACTACTTTGTACCCCGCAGGGTTGTATATGTTGATCTGGATATGGTTTTTGCCAGATGTCCTATATCCTTTCCTTTTCTAAGGCCTACATCGTTAGATTTATCCAGACTACAGGATTTAAACTAGTCTGGTAGTAGGTTTTTCCTAGGCTCCTGTAAAGGATAAACACAGAATGCTAAAGCCATATTAGTTCCATCCATCTGTGTTCTATACTGATGGGACTTTCATTTACCGACCCCTACTTGCTACCCACTAGCTGGAAGATCTTGAAGTGACTCTGTCTGACCACATTCAGAAGGTCCTGAAGCCTAGCTTTGCTGCTGCCTGGGAAGAGGTGGGAGATACCTTTGAGAAAGAGGAGACCTTTGCCCTCAGTTCTACCAAAACTCTTGAAGGTGAGAACAGTTTTGCTATCAACGTATTGCCTGACAGCAGTATTGCCTAACAGGAATATTTACTACTCCAGAACTCTCTTTAAATACTTCATAAACTAATTCCCTTACAAGGCCAGGCCCCTGTCTTCATCATCTAATTGAGTCAACCAGTGTCCAGTCCAGTGGCCTCCCTGCACACATCACCCACCCCTTTACCCTGCCAGCTGCCAGCTCTCACTGGTGCAGAGGCAGATTCCTATGCTGACCTTTCCTGATACTGTTGCATCAATCTTGTCAACACAGAAGCTGTCAGCAACATCATCACATTTCTGGGCATGCAGCCATGTGAGAGGTCGGATAAAGTACCTGAGAACAAGAATTCTCATTCCCTCTATCTGGCAGGTAAGAAACTTCCATCAGATTTCTTTTGTCGCAGAATTTAACAGGGATGTGCATGGGCATCTCATGCCTTGCTCTTATCCCACTGTATGAGTTACAATTTGAAGCCCCATCAAAATGAATAATTTGTTTTAGCTGGTTAATTTGCATGCTACCCTTAGGTTGTGCTTTTAAGATGTACGTTTGGCCTAAAACACTTACTTAAATCTCTCTCGCGGATACCAATGCCACTACCTCCCCCAATTTTGAGTACTCCAGATCAATACTACTGAATACCTTCTATGTACCTGGTATCATAGGAATATAAAAGATTTAGACTTTGTATGTAGAATTCAATTCCCACCATAAACACAAATCTCTAGAAAAGCTAATAAGCTAAAATAGAAAGGAAATGCAGGCAGAGCATGATAAATTTCATTAGCCGGAGCTTGTTTGAAGTTCTTAATATGGTTTTCCTCACTTTTTTCTCTCAGGTGTGTATAGAGGTGGCTATGATTTATTGGTGAGGTCAAGGCTGGCCTTAGCAGATGGCGTGACCATGCAGGTGACTGTCAGAAGCAAAGAGGGAACACCTGTAGATGTTATCTTGGCTTCTGTTGGATAAGTTTTTTGGGGGGATGGGGCAAGATGAAGTTGATGTACACTTCACTGCAGTGGGCTTTTAGGGCTAGTGGCATGAATTTCCCAGAATCATACTTTGAAAAATTAATGACTTTGCAGAAGCAAATTAAATGTTTGGCCCTGAGCCAGCAGATCAAGCAAATATCTGTCCTTGTGCATGTCTTTTTATTACACTTGGTCAACTTTGGTATGATAGTACAGCTTCGGGTGATCTTGAAAAGCAAATACTATCCTGTACCCCAGCTGCTTAACTTCATTATATTGTTTAATTTAACGTGTGTCTGAAAGCTCCTGGCAATGTTGAAAAGCTTTTATCCCAGAGGGGTGGTGGGGGAGGGGAAGGCAGAGTCCACTTTTGTCAAAATTCATTTTTATTAATAGAAAATAAACACTTATTCCACTTTCAATTGTTATACTTGAAGTTGCTAATTTAAAGAAAAAGTTTAATCACTCGATAATCCTATTCTGATTTAATGATCCTATTATGACTAAAACATACTGCGTCTAAAAAAAAAAAAAATAAGTATTCAGCACCGTTTACTCATAGGCCTTTCAGAATTTGATCTTAAAATTTCTGGAACTTTCCTGTCTGTAAAGCACAGGAATTGTGGAGCTACGTGAGGAAGCTCTCCGGGACAACCAATGAGAAGTTAAGCAATCACCATAAGGAATCAGTGTACGCGAGGCGGTGACTTGGACCGTGCGACGGTCCCCTCCCCCCCACTTTAGCTCAGGAGGGACATGCTGAAGCACTGAGGTATGAAGAGTCAGACTATGATTTGCCATTAGAATTGGTCTTTCCAGCTAATGACAGTAAATCTCTGGCATAGACGCTATTGGTCTTGAATGTCTTGTGATGTTATGAAATTCTGTAAGTAGTTTGCATCGAGTTCAATTTATTCAGAAGTTAAACATATTTAATAAGGTTCACTACTCTGCCAGAGTAAGTGTCTGCTGGTTTAGTATCCTTATAAAATATGTATATGTATAGGTAAATCATAGTTTTAAAGTATATGTAGAATGATTTAACCCAAAATCTGTTTTACCAAAATGTCTAATTAGAAGCAGCTGATGAAACTAAATCCAAAGTTTTGACAGGAGACTTACTCTCACTTGAAGCCGTGCTGCTTAGAAAACTTAAAAAAGCATGTGCCCTTAAAGCCATACAAGGAGAGGGAAGGAGGCACGCTCTCCGCTCTCCTGCTTGGGCCAGAAATTTGCATTTCTAAATATTTTGGAAAAGTCTACAGAAGTGTTAAAAGATTTTTATGCAAAATCAGTGAGTAGTGCTCATCAGAATTTCCTAATAACACAAAGACAAAGGCAAGTCCATACACACTTGATCAGATGTCAGAGGGATGGGAGGTGGACTATGAGGTCACCCTTAGACGGAGCTTCTGCCGTTTTTTGTGTTTGTGTTTTTTTTTTTTCTGTCAACCCAATCATTACACAGATTCACCAGTGTGAATCAGGTGGACTTTTGTGAGAGAATAGTATGTGGTGGCCAGGACCTCTTTTGGGCATTTCTTCCTAAATGGAATACACAACAGATAAGGGAGTAGGGGAGGTAATACAGGGAAGCTACTCTTTCCAGCTCAGAAGGAGTTGATGAAGCCCATATATGCATTCAAGAAGCCCATGGGATCCTCTAGCTGTGGGTAGTGGCTAATGTGGTCATCCAGAATCGACACTGTGGACCGCGGCAGCGTTTTCCTAGTGGAAGAGAACAGCATGTAGGTGAACTTAAGGCTGGAGGGAGAGGGAGGTAAGCCAGTGGGCAGCCCCAGCAAATGCCCCTGCGGACATGCCACACTGGAAGGAACCAACAAAGAGCTTATTCAGCTTCTAGCTTGGAATCGTATCTTAGGCAGATAAACTTGCCAATTCCATTTATGACGTATATAGACTAGTTTTTAAGTGTTCATAATCCAACAGACAACTTGAAAATATAACAGTTTGTCAAGGCAGGACGACTTCCAGCTCCTTAGAGAAGCAGGAGGCATCAAACGAGTGGGCCAGTGTCCAAGTAAAGATAACAAAAGACCTTCCTTAACCCTGGGAGGAGATGAGAGGGTATTCTGTTGAAAATTAAGTGCAAGCTATTTACTACTGGGTTGTTTCTACTAGGCCAGATGAAGGTATGGAACGTTCTCATGTGACAAAGTCAGTTAAGATATTTCGCATTCCGACACCTTCCGAGTAAGCACCTAGCGAAAATCACAGCCATTTCCCACAGTGAGCTCTCATCTCGCCCTGCAGTCTGTCTGCTCAGCTGAGGTTGGTGAGTTGGCTTTACAATCAGACTAAAGCAAACATTTCTTACAAAACTTTATCCGTTTCCATTCCTTGGTTCACATGACAGCTTTTTCTTACCTGCACACTTAGAAATATGTCGTAGCCATGACAATGAAAACAGGCTGTATAAATGAAGAGAATGTGTAACTGAATTTCCTGATCTTTACATTTATGTGAGAATAAGATTCCCCAGCTCATCCTTTAATATGTTTCCTGGATGAACAGCCAGTGAGAGGTCGGAGACCGTGTCTGGAGCGACAGGCAGTCCTGTTCACTCTCAGGACAGGATGAGGAACTAATGACAAAGCCCCGAGGGAGACTCACCTGTACAGCTCCAAAAACTCTGGGTAGGGATTCACTGGATCCAGAGGCCCGTAGATGAAATGAACTGGGAAAGAGGAGAGAAACGAATTACGACCAGCTCTCACATCTAATCCGTTCCTTTCCCCCCACGCTAAAGTTATTCCTATGATGGAAAATCATAACTTCGTTCAATAAGTAGGGAATAAGCCAAAAACTGAGGCCACTCGGGACATTTTCTCCTATATTCAGCCATTCAGTCCCTGAGGCCTGCAGCTCTTCTGTGCCCTGGACCAAAAGGAATAAGCCCCACTTTCAGCATTCTCTTTCTGTAAATCCGGGATAGTCATTCTTTACGTCTCTCTCCAATTATAACTGACCCTTGACACCAGAAATCAACCGACAATTTCTCAAACTATTATGTGCGAGACACACGGCACCGATATTTTTTAAATCTGTAAGAATGAAGAGAAATGAGCAGAAACCACCTGTAGTCTCTCGATTAGTAATCTTAACCAACTTCTATCCCAGCAACTCAGCGTTTAATGTGGCAGCCACTGACAATGCTCAGAAACCAGTCCAACTCCCACTCCCGACAGTGACACCCACTGCCTTAGCGATAGATCTCAATTATTTTCTAGACTTTACAACACGTCATCGGTGTTGCAGATGTTGCAGAGGGTTGCCAGACCAAAGGATGACCAATTAAATTTGAATTTCGGATGAGATTTTTTAGCATAAGTATGTCCCAAATATCGCACAGCACATACTTATCCTTTAAAAAGCATTTGCTGTTTATCTTAAACTCCAGTTTAGCTAGATGTTTTATATTTTTGTTAGCTCTATTTGGCGGTTATTTTAACCCCCGAGACCCTCAGTTTTCCTATCAAGATGTAACACTGAGATACTCACTGGGAATAGTTACAGAGGCAAGAGCTCCCACCCAGCGTCTTCGAAACTTCTTCCTCTGATTGATGTACTGTAAGAGACTGTAGGACAAGTCGGTCAGCAGGAGTAGGACAAGAAACTATTGTTCTAGGGATGCGAAGGCCTGACACGAGTCACGAGAAACACAATATATGTTTTCTTAATCCAGGAGCAACTTGGCACTCCTGGGAATGGCCCACTTACCCATTTCTGTTAACTTCTAGAGTTAACTCCCATGTAGCGATAGCAGCGATCATGCCCATCACTGATGTAAGAATTAGTGTTTCTTTGTGTTTATTAAGCAGGGAATGAGATCTAGGAAGGCTGGAATTAGTTTGGGTTGTAAGTGACTAAAGCCCATGTCTAAGGTTCCGATCACTGCTCTACTACTAACTAGTTGTGTGACTCAAGGGTGTAACAGGCCTTTTTTGACCTGCTTCCTCCTCTTTAAGAGGACTGAATGAACAGGATCTCAATCTACATCTACTTCTAAAATTCTAAGTGTTGAAGCTGATAAACACAAACACAGCCAAATTTTAGAACTCAAACTCATGTATTCTAATTATCCTGCCTGGAAACTCCAGAAGTTATGAACCTCAAATGTCACCTTTTAGAAGTGGCATTTCCATTTTGGAAAGGAAAGTATAAAGGAATTTTAAAAGAGGGTTTTGTTTTGCAATTTTTTGATCGAGATCCCAGAGAGATTGGGGTGGAGGGAGGAATGGCTCTCTCCCCCTCACGATTCTCAGCAAGGCCATCAGATAAAACAGTGTACGCTACACTGACCCAGCTAGTTATGCATGTCACCATCTGTGAAAGCGGCATTCGAACCAAGGCGTGGGAATGCCTTGTACAGGACAGAAAAATCTCCCCTCTCAGTCTCCGTTGCTACAGAGAAAGTATTTTTTAAAAAGGAAGAGACTTGTACTATGAGAGAGGCACTAAATGCCTTTCACAACTATGATCAGACATGTTAAGGCATTTAATATTAATGAAAAGTCTAAAGGATCTGCCAGCCAATCAGCCAGTTACAACTGACTTAGCATGAGAATCTGCAGTTTATCCAAACCTTTTGTGCCACGTGGCTCAGGCTCAGGGCTCACTCTCGTCTTTCTTCTTCATATAGACTATGACTTTTTAGTTTACCTTGTAAGTCATAACCAACCTTCTTGTGACAGGGAAGTGCCAGCCAAGAACAAAACAAGCAACCTCACACCTTTCCCCACATTCCAAAAGAAATCCTCTCCAAAAACCAAAGAAAAGGGCCACTTCTTACCTGTCGATAACTAAGTTCCCATCATTGTTGCGTATCCCTGCCCACATGTCCCACAGCTCACTCTCCGAAGGTCGGGTGTATGGCCCAAAGACTGGGGTGAGACTGAGAGTCCAAAGAAAACAGAAAGATACGTGTGAGAATTCAGAATGTCAAATATGATTGGAACCTCAGAGGTCACGTAGTCTGACCCGGAACTGATTTATGAATTCGTTCTTCTACTTCCATGGCAAGTGGCCGACACCTTTGCATTAAAATATCAAACCCTAGAATTCGGCCCAGAATCTTAATGGCAACAACTTTCTACCACATTGTCCCCAGGTTGCAGTGAACTGGTCTTTGACAGTGACTCACCCTCGAGAGAATACAAAGAAGTTCATCAGTCGTGTGAGGATAGGTGACAGCACGCCTCCATCTTTAAGCAGCTATAGGTAAATAGATAAAAGTAAGAAACAAGAATCCAGAGAGAGAGAGGACAGCTAACCAGGACAAAAAGTTTTATGTGAGGAACTAAAAAGACTTTAGGCAAATCTCCTACTGGAAGGTCTGGTCAGTGGCTTTTAGTTTTTTGTTCTGCTTACCCAAATCCTTCTCTCATGGAAGACAAATCTATTTCTAATTCACATTAAGATAACATTTCTACATTTCACTAAACCCCTAAGACAATTAACTGATATAGTCAACTTTAGACTAGGATCCCAGTTTGTTCTAACATCAATGCTAATGACACAAATCTTTAGATTTCTCCAAGTATCTGTTGAGCTCTTATTCTCAGAAAGTTTTAGGCTTTATGTAGGGGTCACTTCCACCGCTTTATCTGCATAAGAAGGAAAAAACTAACTTCATTAATGTAAATTGATGAGAAGGAGTTTAACTACAGGCCCTTATAAAGGTCCCAGCATTATTTGTCAGTATAAACCTTAAGAATTAAACATCTAGTCAGGGCAGTAGCCAACCTTTTGGAGAAGGAGAGGACGGTGAGTCTCAGGAAATATACCTGAAGGAGAAGAGATTTAAGTTAGTGATTATCCAACAACTTTAGGGCAAACATAGGCCTGTTATTTGAAACTATCTACCCTACTCACTTGTAACCTCTGGGAACTTTACTGCTGAAATCCAAATTACAAATAAAAACTTAGTATTGTCATCTACTTCCTTCCCCGGGAATTCTGGGTTTAACAGAAAAGTATCCCACTGGGATTACTTTCCCAATTTTAAGGGTAGAGAAACAGGAAAAATATTTTACATGGTCATCCATACTGCTGATGACGAGGCTCTGACGTTCCCGCCCATTCCTCAGAATACATAGTGTTGACCTGGGCAGCAAAAGAATCTGGAGATTTTTCCGGAAGTGTAGTTCCTTAAAAGAAAAAACCTAGATTTTTCCTTTTCCATTTTTCTCCAGAATTAATGGGAGAAAGCCTTGAGCCCTGGTTATAAAGGGACAAACAGACTTCTCTCCCAGTCTGCCCAGGAGGTATTCAGGGGACGTTTGGAGATTCATGGATTTACAGGACAGACTCAGTGGCACGCAAAGAAAAAGAAGTATCTCCAAAAGGTCTAATCAATGTTCACTAATTTCTAACTGAAAGTTGGCACTGCCATAATTAAGAGTTTACGAAACTGCAGTAGCATTAGAAGTACCTGTGGCTTCATATCAAATATTTGCATAACCCACCACAGCTGTTACAGATAGTATGAATATTTACACACCTAAATACTTCTAATAGTTTACTACACCCACCACTAGATCTTGCTGCATAATGCATTTTAAAAAGCACGTATTTTTATAACACAGCTTTTTATTAACTATATGTCAATATAATCAGTTTCCTTTGTAATCCTATTCATTTTATTTTTTATATTTAAAAACATGATTTTGAGAAAGGGTCAATAAATCTTATCAGACCACTAAAGCGGTTCATGGGACAAAAAAGGTAAAGATTCCCTAGTTTAATTGTGTCTGTTTGCAATACCGTCAGATTACTGCTTAGATGTCATCTGCCACCCACCGCCAAGGCAATTACCTCCATTTGACAGACAGAGACTCTTTATGGTAAGCCGACCAGATCGATTCTGCTTGAACCTAGAAACGAGAGGGAAACACATCTGACTGAGTTGACCCGTACAGATGTAGCGACTAAAGACAAACTTCCCAAGAGGCAATAGAGCTAGAAAGAACCCAGGAGCAATTTACTTTTCCCGGCATCCCGAATGAGTGAAACCTGTGAATAGAGCAGAAGTCTATGCCCTCACCGACCTATAGAGCAGCTCCTGAGCAACGATGTCTCCATAATCATGAGACAAAAGGTTGATCCTGCGGTTCTGGAGCCCCAGATGCCGCAAAAGCGCTTCCACGATGCTGGCCTGCTCGAATATGGAGTAGTGATGTGGTCTCTAAGGGAAGGAAAGTCCAGATGCACAGGATGAGGTCAGGAGTGCGGTCTGCCAGGTGACCCTCCATCTTGTCCACCCCCACCCCGTGACGCTGGTCCCGTCCTGCTTACCGGTTTGTCACTGAAGCCAAAGCCTAAGAAATCGAGGGCGATCACTCGATGAAATCTCAGTGTCAGACCTTCCCAAATCTACAAGAAAGAAAGAGATGATTTGGACTTTTTGACGCTGCTGCTCCTCTCCTCCAACCTACACCAGCGTGAGCGCTTCATCCGTTGCTCAGTTTAACGGACTTCGATAAAGGGAAAGTCACATGCAGCCACCACAGGCCCACAGATGACCCTCTTGAACAGTGCTTTTATTCCTAATACTTAATCTCCATTGAGGGAGATTTTAACTCCAGCATTTTTAACTTGGCAATGATACTTCCCAGATTTCCAAAGAGTTTTTTACTCCCTTACAGTAAATGAAAAAGTTCTATATTTAATCCTATTTTATTAAGCAATTCAAATATGCAAAAACCTTGCAGTGCTGACAACAAAGTTCTTGATTTTGAATTTCTAAATACCTAGTAGGACCTGGAAAGTCTGATTTCATTACCTTGTACCAATCATAGCTGGATGTTGGAAAGCCATGTAAAAGCACGACTATCTCCGGACTTCCAACCACACCCACAGAGTCTGGGAAGAAGGGGAGAGATCCGTTAAGCCAACTCCTTATAAAAATAACTGTGACGATATTAAATCTAAGTAATCTAGTATAAAGGACAAGAAATCCTGACCAAGTTAACGAAATTAAAATAATAGGTTTCTTTTTTAAACGCAAGCTTACTGCTTTAGGTAAAAACAGACATTGGATTTTTAAAAATCTGTATATTAAAAAATTATAAGTAGCATATTTTATATGAAAATACTTAGTCTGCTTAATTTCACCCAATTTTTTAAGTATTTCTCTTCTTTTTCTATATTATTAATATGCAAATTGCTTTTCACAGTAAACTTTCACAGTTAAAAGTATATGATCACAATATATACACTACAGATTCTTTGTATCTTATCATTAATGACCTCACAGAAATTCTCAGAATGTAGCAACTCGTCCTCAACCTGACGAACACCTTTGTTTAGGCTGTTTTCCTAGCACTTTTATTTCCCACAGAAGAGACCCAATTCAATATCAAAAGCGCCATGCTCAAACTATTGCAAAATTCTAACTATAAAAGAGTTAATCAACATAGACATTAACATTTTTAATGCATTAGTTAGCCATTTAAACAGCAGAATGCCTTGCTAATAATATTAGATCAAAATCAACACGTTCATGTACTGCCAGTGGCATGAGAACTTGATAAGGTTTGCAAAATAATTTAGTTAGAAGCAATTAAAAATTTTATATATTTTAGCCTAGACATCTTATTCTTCGGAATCCATGCAAATAAAATCATTCTGTTTACAATAAGTATAATTGAAAATATAAGGAAAAAATAAATATATACATAAAGATTTCCCCTCGACATTAACTAAAACATTGAAAACTGGAAATGACCTAAATGACTAATAAAGAAAATTATATACTTACTTAATCGAAATAGCAAATGAGAGGAGGTCAGGAGCAATAATGAAAAACGGTTTATGACAAACATTTTTCGTTATTGCTCTTGACCCCCGCCCAAAAGAAATCTTTTCCAATCTCGTTTTTTGGTTCTTTACCTATAAAATGAGGTTAATGGCAGCTATCTCCAAGTACTGTTATAAAGATTAAATGAAATAATGAAGATTGAAAACATAATTCAATGCCTAACATATGGTAATTACTTGATAAGTAGCAGTCATAACAATTATCATTAGCAAATTAATTTATACAAAGTTGTATAAGACTTAAATCACATTTAATGATGTATATAACATAATCTTTATAGAAAACAAAATGAAATCAGGACTTGGGGGGGACAGAACCAACGGTAGCTTTATCTACGCATAATGTTTATGTCACGCGACGCTAGGAGCGCTCAAGAGGAAAAAACCTGTATCGATAGAAACCGAGCTATGAAAAAAATTATGCTAAAAAGTCAGTTCTATAGAGACTGGAATCTCACTTCCACCACCCCTACCCTCCCAGCAGTTTTTTTGGGGGGAGGGGGGGCGGTTAGTCCATTCCTTCAGCCACACTTCACAGAAAAAGGGGGTTTTCTCCTTGATCACTGAGGAACAGAGACCAATGGACACAAAATAAGTACCTCAGCGGGACCTATACACACAGGTGTTCCAACAGCCCTCCTCTTACCTTGGTAGAAGATGCGCAGTCCCTTGTAGGTGAAAAATTTGCCAGATGACTTCCATGAGTGAAGAGCGGGGGAAAGCTGGGGGGGCGGGATGTGCAGATAGGCAGCAAGCAGGGGAACGGCCAGTAGCCCCACCTGTACCCACCACTCCCTCATCCTGTAGGAAAACCAGAGATGTAAGCAGTCAGGTGATACGGTACACATTTCTACAAGCCCCAAACTGCTAAGACAGTGGGAAATTTCCGTGCCATGCAGTGACTGCCCTGCCCTCTATCTGAACCATGGCAGAAAGTTACGGAGGAGAATGTAAGCTGCACCTCAGCCTGCTATGGCAATCACCATATTTGTTCACCATTCTGATTTTAAGGAAAAAAAATATTTTAGTATGTAGTCTTCCTCCTCATCTCCCCATTATAATCTCTCAGCCCCTCCCCTTGCGCTGTTCCCAAGACCTGCTGGAGAGGTTTTTATGTAAAGTAAAAGGAAGATTAAGTATTTTGCACCTTTTCTTTGGCTTTTATCAGGGCTTCCCAGGGAAAAAAAAATTTCTTTCACATTTACTCTAAAAGCTCTACCATCTATCCACTGGCCCCCACCAGTATAAGGTTTTATATTTATTTATATATATAAGCTTAAAAAAACCTTGGGTAGTAATATCACATGTCCTTAAGCAGAGAGCTGTTTTTGATTTTTTTAATATTTATCAACCCCCTGACCCCAGTGAAGCCCTGTTTGGTACTACTATATGGATTTTTGCTGAAGAGTCTGTGAAAGAAAGACGTTAGGTGCACTGGGCAGTCCATCATAAGCAGCTTTGTCATGACCCTGAATATCTAATCTCTTGAGAGGTCAGGGAAGCAGATTATATTTCTGCTTTTCTTAGCAGACTCTGGAGGAAGCCCCTATTTATTTAATTTCTTAGGACTCGTCTCTTCCCCCACCACGCGAAATAAATAAGTAAATAAGGCATAGCTCATACCCAACATCTGGGAATTGATTTTGTCATTGGAAGGAGAGCATGGTTTGCACACTTAACCTTTCCATGCCCAGGATTTTAAAGGTCCAGGTCAATTTAATTTATCCATAATGACAATGAGTCCTAAACAGGTATTAGAAACAGCTCTCTGTTTCTAGTTTATCAACTTGTGATGGCCACCAAAGAAAGAATTATCAGCAGAATGTAAGTTCTCTCAAAATAGCCAGAATGGAAATAACTTCTAATACCAAAAAACAAACAAACAAACAAACAAAAAAACAGATCTATAAGAAAAATTGTCTAAGACCTGGCGGAAACCAGCTTTGTGTCTGCACACATCCCCTTCCACTGTAATACCTGTAATCTGACCACAATCCTGACCCATCACAAAATATTCCAACTCACAAAACGCTTAAAAAAAAAAAAAAAAAAAAAAAACCTTTAAAATAAGCATGTGGTTCCACGGTAGTAAAATAATGACATTCCTTAAAGAATATAATCTCTTTTGCTTATTTTTGCGTATCACTAAGGTAATTTTTTTTTCCTCCAAAGTTCCTGTCTATAAAACAAACCCAATCAGTGATTTGGTTCACCTTTCAAGATATTAGAAATTAGATAAAAATGCCTAAAACATGATCATTATATCAAATTTTTCACCCCACAATAGTAGGAGGCTACCTCGCAAAACCTCCGTCAAAGATGAGATAAAAAGCATTAGGTTTCGACCGTCATTTTCTGAGCTATGTGTCCTAATGCTTCCGCTCATACATTTTCACGATATCATTACGCCTTATCCCTACGCTTCTCTCGTTCATTCACGGGTTCCAACAGCCGGATATCTGCAATGACTCAGCAGAGAGCCAGGAAGGGGTTACTAAAGGAGCAAGCAGAAGGAGCCCCCCACCCCAGTGGGGAGCGGGGGGGAGGGGGGGGTGGAGCAGGCGAACGACATACACACTGCTCCTGGACACCCCCATCCTCTACACTCTCCTTCCCTTGCACTCCAAGAAGCTAAAGGAAGCCGTTTTCTGTCTTATCTCAGTAAAAATGCCCCTAATAACATTTTAGGATTTTTTGCAGAGAAGCGATCTGGCAGTCTAAGCAAAATAGATTAAACAATTTTTTTTATCAAAATCTCCATTATTTGATAAGCCATGAGTCGAGAGTATAAATTCAGCAAACCCCAGTACAAACTTGGAAATTAATCAACCTTTCCGAGCCCTGATTTCTTCAATCTTGTAAATAAGAAAACTACGATTAATACTACCAAACCTGCCCGCCTTACGGCATCGCCTTGAGATTAGGAACTACTTTGTAAACTAACGCAAGCAATTCATGTGTTACGTGGTGATTGGTGACATCATCATTCTCACTTAGCTTCTTGTTATTGAAATCTCAAAAATACTTACGCTCGGTGATAACGTAATGCAAGTTCTAGTCACACCTATGCGGTAAATCACGCCACGGCAATACCAGGGTCTTCAAATCCTAAACTGCGCCATAGCAATACTCGAGTCTTGAAATCCTAAATCGCACCATAGCAATAACCTGGGTCTTGAAATTCTAAATCGCACCAAGATGATATCCACTGTTAAAAGCCTAAAACACGCCATGGTGAAACCGGGTCCAGAAATCCTAAATTGCGCCACAGTAATACCGGGTTCTCGAAATCCTAAATCATACCGAAGTGATGCGGTGATCTAAAAATCCTAAATTGTGCCAGGGACATACCCGGTTAAAATCCTAAATCGCGCCGAGGTAAAACTTGGGTCTAGAAATCCTAAATCACACCAGGGCGATGCCGGGATCCAGAAATCCTAAATCGCGCCAAGGCGATACCCGGATCTAAATATCCTAAACCGCACCAAGGCGATGCCGGGATCCAGAAATCCTAAAACGCTCCAGGGCGATACCGAGATCTAAATATCCTAAATCGCGCCAAGGCGCTTCTGGCGTCCAGAAATCCTAAATCGCGCTAGCACAGCGCGGTGGGGCGGGGAGGTATCTAAATATCCTCAATCACATCAGAGGCGAAACCAGAGACTAGAATCCTTAGTGGCGCCAGGGCAATGCCCGGTTCTAAAAAATCCTAAATCAGGAAGATCTGAACATTCTACTACGTGTAAAAGTGGCATCCCCTCTCAAATAGGAAGATCGAGTTCACAGGAAAGGCATGCAGGCCTCCCACGGGGCTTTCCCTCCATTGCAGGGGTCGTGGTCTGGCAGCCCCAGCTCGGACAGAGCCCTAACGCGCTAGCCCGCACCCGAGTGCCGGACCGCGGCTTTGAGCCAGCCACACCCCCTCGCGCTGGCCGCGCGCACCCACCTGCGGAGGCGATCTCGGCGCACCATGGCTGCGTCTTATCCCATGCCGCACGGCACACCGATTTGGAGCACAGGGGCGCCGCGGCACCCACAGCTGCACCCGCAGCTGCGTAGGGCCAGCACACAGCCCGTGAGGGCGGTGCCGGCCGCGGCAAGCAGCGAGCGGCCACTAGGGCGTACGCTGCGGCAATGCGCAAGGCGCGGCTGCCGCAGAGGAGGTGCCGGGATGTGCTGGTTGCGCGGCAGCGCGGAGCCAGTGGGCACCGACTTTTAGAGCCCACCCGGGCCCCGCCCCTGGTCCGCCCACCGCACCGCAGTGCTCCTCCCACCGCAGCCACCACCCCTCCCTGCAGCCCGGCTGCTGCTGTGGGGATGGGGCGCCCTTCTCACGGCCGCTCCTCCAAGGGGCACCTTCAGGGGTGTTAACCCCCACCAGCACCCAGCTACTCCCCCATGGCCCCCCAACCCTGGCTCCAGGTTCTGCAACAGAAATCCTTTTCTGGCGAATTAACGCCGCAGGAAAAGACAACAGACCCCCAAAATCCCAACCTTCCACTTAGACCACCCACAGGCTCCTCCACCCCCAGAGGTGGCCACTTGACCTCAGGTGTGGCGCCTGCTTGCGTCCTGCACTGCACCCGAGGCACGGGATCTGAATTGTGCGAGTACCAGACTCGAAGCAGCAGTCCACGAGCACCCTATGCCTCCTAGGTCCCTAACTATGGGTAACTACCAAAGGTACAAACAAGGAGCTATGGAACAGCAAGCTCTGTTGGACCTACCACCGGGCTAATCGGCTGATTCAGAGGTTGGCTACTACGGACCCAAAAGGGCAAAACAAGGGGAAAGTCTGGGTCTCTTGTTCAGCTACTGCTGCAGTGCCCAGCACGTTTCCTTTACAGCAGCACGACTTAGGCCTCATTCCGGAGCCCAGCCGCAGCCTTCCCACAGCACCCGCTCCCAGCAAAGCGCCGTCCCACACCAGAAACAAATGGTCATCACAGTTATGAGACTAAAGCTCTCCTTTATGTAAGACTGGATTCACAGTGCAAGGGCCCAGTGGTACAGAAAAGAGGGAAGAATTTTTTCTTCATCCATAATCCTTTAAAAGGTATCTATTACGCCTTTGAAAAGAAAAGGGTAGAGAATCACAGTGTCTGTGATCGTTTTCCAGATGTAAATTGAAATTCTAACGAACGCACAGAGGCCGCTAGCGACCCAGACAGCCCTAGCAGTGCCGGCTCCCTCCAGCAGGGGCGCTGCAGGTCTCCCTTCCACACACGCCTGCCCGCCACTCCTCAGCCCAGGCAGCGCGGATGGCAAAGGCCGGTCCAGCCGAGCCATAACAGTGCGCCATGGACCCGAGGGCCACCAACCACACATGGCAGAAACCACCATCTATGAGTGTGTCATCAAAATGTGTGGCACAATCCAGAGTACGCTTCTGCTGGTGTCCAATTAAGAGGGTCATGAAACGAACGCTCATTTAGCACCTACAATGTGCTGAGAGCCGGGGAGGGATCCAAACACGAACGAGAATGGCCCCTGCTGACCATCCAGTGAGGAAGACAAACAAGAATCAAAGCTGCTTAAATTTTCTCTTTAATTTCCTGTCCACATTTTGTGACAGGTTGGCCCCCCTCCCCCTCACATGTAAGGCCCTCAAAGGCAGAGTCCAAGTATTATTCACCTTTTGTATCCCCAGAGCCCGCCACGGTGCCGGCCACAAAGCAGGCCCCTAATAAATACTGCATGAATACATCCAAGAATTTGAGGGCGTACAGGGGAGGAAGTAATTAAGGGAAGGGGGGAAGGGTTGTCTTGAATGATGAATAGACATTTACCAGAGAGACAAAGAGCATTCCAACCAGAGGCGACGGCATTTGCAAAGCACCGGAGGCGCAGGACCGCACAACCTTTGGGGAAAAATGCCAGTTCTTTGGGCTGGGGTGCCGACAGACAAAAAATTAGGCTAAAAAGAGTATTTCATCCTAAGGAGTTTAGAATTTGTCCTAAAGAAAGAGAGAAGCCACAGATGGATTTAAACCCTTTATGGCCTTAATTGGTTACTTAACAAAATTTAGATTAGTCCCTTTACAAATGGAGGATTACCTACTTAAACTAACCACCACCTTTAAAAGGCTGAATTACTTAGCAAAATTTAAATCGGTCCTTTCAACGGGGTAAAAGGCTTTCCTGTTTCAACTAAGACAACAATGGTAACAACTTTTATGTTATATTTTTTCATATTTATCGTCCTACAAACAAGTCCACACTTTCATTCTCACCATACACCCGCATCCAAGATGAAGGCAATTTTGTATTTAATGGACAGAATGCTCACAAAGGATCTGATTCTGAAAGCAAGAGGACATGTCCACCCACATGGAACAAGTGGGCAGACAGGAGGAGAGACCGTTGGGGGAGGGGACCAAGGGAGGCTCTTGAAGGCAAGAGGAATTCTAAGTCTGAGGCTCAAGAGAAACCCTCCTGGACAGAGTGGCTAGGAAAAACTTCCTTGGAGGACGGATCGAGGTTGAGAAGGACTTAGGTGGAAAAGTGGTCCGGTTCGGACGAACCTTCAGCACAGAAGCTAGGAGACCAAAAAACGCAGAGGATACTATGAGAGATCAGCTTGGCTAAAACCGGGAACTTGCTTTCAAGAAATCCGAGAGAGAGAAAATGCTAGCGATAAGGTTCCAGGAGCCAAAGAGTTAATGACTTTTCTAAATGTGCCTGACTTACTTCCAGAGAGAAGCTTCCTCCACCGGGGAGGAATCTGGTCCAAGGTATAAAACCGTGGAGCGCCTGAGAAAACATGCAACATACATAAATCCAAAATCAGTCTCTTGCTTGCTCTCAGCGCACCCTTTCAGTTGGCTACGGATGCCACACTTGACCGTCATTACATGCAGCAGTATTCCCACATAAGACGACCTCAAATCTGTGCAAAAATTAGTTGAGAGTTCCACATCTATCAGCCTGCCGACGTACAACAGCGGTATAAGATATCACCAGTCCAATAATCATATTTTTCTAACCCCAATTTAAGAGCCATAATATGACAAACAAGGATATTTATGGAGACAACAGGACAGAACTAGGATTGCCACTTTCAAGGGCCATAATTACTGATTCAGATAAACTAAAGAAGTTCAAGATGGGAGAAACTTGAACAGCAGCACGTGTTAAAGAGACAGGGTTTTAGTTGACAGTGAGTCTGTGTGATATGGCTCCAAAAAGCCATTATAGATCGTAGACTATAATTAGAGAGGTACCCAGCATAAGCTAATCCTACTCTTTTCTGCTAGTTAGACCTCACGGAAAGTGTTTTATTCTGCTCTACAGAGCAGATATTATGAGACACATAAACAAACAGGAATTTGTTCAGAGAAGATCAATTAAAACGCATTGCAAATTATGTCGCTGAAGATGTAACAGCTCTCATATTTTAAGCTCCTACTATAGCGTGGATCTTCACCCAATTTATCCCTAATCCTCACAATAACTTGCCTAGACGAGTATTTCATCTACACTTTCAGAGAAAGGTGCAGCAGCTCAGACAGAGCACTAAGCGTTAGTATGTGAAGGGACTGGGAACTAAGCACAGATGTGTCTGGCTCCAAAGCTGGCGTTCTTTCCACTACCCCACACTGCCTCCCTGTTTAAAATAACTGTACATGTTTAGTTGGAAGAAAAGAAGCCTTGTGGAGGGAGTGGAAGAAGGAAATGTGTTAGCAGTCCTCAAATATTTGTGGAAGCAGCATTAGACATTTTATTCTGTATGGCTCCAATGAGTGCAAATTGTAGAGAAACAGATGTCGATTCAACATAAAGAATTTTCCAACAGTCGGTGCTGTCTAGAGACTGAGTGGCTCAGCCATTTGGGGATAGGACAAGTTCCCTATCACTAGAAACTGGGTAACGCTGCGGCAGGTATGCAAGCTCTGGACTCTGGATGAATGAATGAATGACCTTTAAGGTCTCTTCCCATCTGATAGAAACGAAGGTCCAGAGAGGTATTGAAACTTGCCCGGAGTGACGCTTCTACTGAAGGGTCAAATCCACAACTAGGTCTCCCCTTGTCCCTCAGCCCAGAGCTCTTTTTACAACATGCAGTTTCACGCCAAGGGCAAGACAAATTGAAGAAATTATCACTACAATTACATCACATTCCCTCTCAGCCAAATTTAACCAATATTTCCCCAAAGTGACTGGTATCTTCCTTCCTCTTTTATTCTCATTTTTGGGTAAAAGTCTTTGAGTGCAAGAAGTTCAAAAGATGAGTGGTAGAGCAGGGAAGCAATGGGGCTGAAAAATCCATTAACCAGATAAAATGAACCTAAGTGGCAGATGGTCGTTTCTATAGATTACAGTATCCCTGGGCAACCCTAAAATATCTCTACACACACTCTGTATTACTGGGCACATCCCATAATCCCACACCTAGTACAATTTCCCTGTTCTACACCTAGACTACATTTTATACACACACACACACACACACACACACACAAAATAGGTTGAAGGATTCAAAATAAAATCATATCTTGCATTTTTATATTCTTTGCTCTTTCACATATATTCTCATCTGACGCTCACCACGGTCTAAGGAAAACAGCTACTTTTCTTAAAACAGACAAGCAATTTCCTAGCCGCCTGGGGCACAGTATTTTTAAAAAAAAAAGAAAAGAAAAAAAAAAACAAAACTGCCTTCTAGATTAGATTATTCCTTCAGCCTGGATGCGTCAAACCAGAAGCAGATGTTTCCCTTTTCCTTGATTGCTAGCACCATCACCTCACACCTTCTTCAGCTGTCCCCCGCCCCCATGCCCTCCGGGGCCCCTACCCGCGCTATTAGAGTGCAGCGATTCTTTTCGGATCCTGTTACTGCCACGCTGGCCGGCCACCGACCCGCACTCGCTGCCCCAACTCCCACTCGGCGCCGGCGCCGTGCGGCCGCGTCCCCCACACCCACGCAGGCCCGTGTGGCTGCAACCTTCCTAACCATCACCGCAGCCGTCCCCACGTGGGACGCGCAGCCTCCCAGAAACTCGAGTCCCCATTTCCTGGAGGGGTGGTCAAGCAGGATAACGGACTGACTAAACATTGAAGTGGGGGTCAAGCCTCTGGCGAGGCTGAGGGGCTTTTGTGATCTCCGACCCCGAGGTTCTGGGAGATGATGACAGAGGACCTCGCCCACGTGGCCCTCACACCTCGTGTGGCCACG